AGTCTTTGATAGCTTTCTAGAGCCATGTTGCAAGGCCTTCCCGAAGAGAGATCATAACTCATGGAGAGTCGATCGGTGAAGCTAGCGACGACAATACTCGATCGGATCATGAGAACTCATTGAGACTCATCAAAGATCAGATGCAGTTGGATTTAGTCGACAAAGAGGCAACGAGGGGTCAGATATCGAGAATGCGAATGATGTGTGATGGAGGTACTATTCAAGCTGATGAACAGTACATGGGGAATTGTTCGCTTAGGATATTTTTGAGAATTAGGGTTTTGATTGATTAGAGGACAAAGGTTTGAAGAGTACTTGGAATCGAAGGCTGAGATTAAAGTGGACTTAATTAAAAAGGACCTCACACCCATGACTTCACACCATTTAGCAATTCACATGCTTAAGAGAATTCTCATAACTTAAATTTTTATTCATCAATCTCTATCCCTTATAGAGGTTTACAATTTTATAGAGAATAATAAATCTAGAAAGAAAATCAGCCTAATAAAATCATAGCCCAATAAAAGAGAAACAAAGACAATCTCTAACAAAATAAAATCTTAGAGATCCTTAAAAATCATAAATCAAATCTTTAGGAAATTTAATCTAAAATAGAGATTACATCAAATGTTATTAAAAATTAAAATAAAAAAGATTCTATTAAGTTCTAATATCAGCTGATCAACGACCAAAGATAGCCCTATAACAAATCTCTCCTTGTTTGAGAAAACTCAACCTCAAGTTTTATAATGAAAGTATAATATGTAATTTAATCAGTGGAATGTATTGCTTCGCGGGTTGCAGGATTTTCAAGAGAATTCATAGGACCATATATTGAGATGGCAGTGAAGGGTCTGGGATAATAAAGTCAACAAACAGATTAGCAATGACTGAGAGTTTGAACTGCATATCAATCTTACATTCGACTATATTGAGATGGGACAATAAAGTCAACAAACAGATTAGCCAGGACTGAGAGTTTGTACTACATAACGATCTTTACTTAATTTAAGCCAAAGTTTTGGATCGACATGGGGCTCGGTTTCCAGTTAGGCTCAAGTTCTTGCTCTCCGTTAGGTTCGAGCTTAAGCTCGAGATCTGGATGAATTTTCATCTCTAGTTCCGCACCTAGCTCGAGCTCTAAAACAATCTTTTAAACTTGTTCTGTAGTTTTTTCTGGCTCAATCTAATATTCCAATATCATATATTGTTTAGAATTGATTTTCCATTTTGGTTCCTTTATTTGAAGGATCTCGCTCAATCTACGTTTCTTGATTTCTGTAGAAGTTCTTACAACTTGGCTGAAGTGAAAATTCATTTTCTTAATTTGTGAGTTCATCCATGTTGAGGCTAAGGATTGGCTTAAAATTGCTTTGATACCAATTGACGCAAACTGGGGTAGGGGCTCCGATCAGAAAGTAGAAAGTTCTCGAATGTGACACTTTAAACGATAATCCGGACCCAATCGAAAAGTATGATGTTTTTAACATTGTGAAATTTGGTGGATACCATAATCTAAACAGAATCTAAAAGGAGCAGCTAAATTTTTAAATATTTGATAGCATTCCATAGCTATATTGTAAGGCATCGGCGAAGAAAGATCATAACTCATTAAAAGTCGATCGGAGGAGATCTAGTGGGAATGATATTCAATCGGATCACGAGAACTCATCAGGATTTGTCGAAGCTCAGGCAATCATCGAATCTGGTTTACAAGAGGCCTGGGACTCAGATGTTTAAACAAGGGGTAGCTAGTACTGTTCACAGGATTGAACAGTGCACAAGACTACTGTTTACCCATGTACAATAACCTTTGGTGGGTTTTCTTTTTTCTTTCCTTTTTTTTTTGATCTTTGAGGATTAAGATTTTGAGAATTTGAACGTTGATAGGAAGAGAGTTTTAGATAGATACTAGGGGACTCACAGAAATGAGAGGGTTTTAAATTTATATTATGCTTCACATCTAGGGGCCTCATGCAAAGGCCTTTACATCCCAAAAAGGTAAATCACATGTCAAGAAACATCTCACATATTCAAGAGAGAATTCTCAATGCTCAAATATTTATTAATATCCCTCACAGAGGATTACAACTTTATTCATAGAGAAAGCAAGTTAAATCCTAATCAAATCAAATTCTAATAAAAGGGAAACAAAGATAAAATCTCTAATAAAATAAAATCTCGGATATACTAAAAATTATAAATCAAATCTAAGGAAATTTTAGCTAAAAATAAAGATTAATCAAATATTATTAAAATAAAAAAGATTCTAGTAAATTCTAAAATCTTCTAATCAACGATCAACTATTGTCATGCATCACCAGGACAAATGGAAAATCCAAATGGAGTTGCAAATTATAATCTTATGAACTTTTATATTTTCGAAAATAAAGCATATAATTGATCTTAGAAAGTTACAAAATGTGTAGTATCCCTAATCTTTCTAGCGATAATAAGTCCATATTATAAATTGCTTTAGTAGGTATCCAAACTATTGGATTAAAATTATCAATTTGCAAGAGGGCTTTTATGTCATATTATTAATAACATATTAGTATAAGCAATGTTCTAAAAAGCTTCCGTCTAGGCGTAGGCGGTACCTAAGCCACCAGTCTAATGCCTAGTGCTCAGGTGGTACCTAAGCTTCTCACCTAAGTTTTTTGGGAATACCTAGGAAAGTGTAGGCTACTTATGTGGACTGCACCCCTCATATACGTAATATGATATAAGTTATTAAATATTTAGGTTTGGTTAGTAGCTGTAGCCTTTAGGATATTTGTATTTTTTTGGTAAAAGAGAGTTGAAGAAACTAGCTAGTTTACCAATTTATAGTATCATACAGTTCTATTGAATGGTTTAATGTGTTATATTAATTAGTAGGATTGTACTAATGGTTGCTTATATTTATCTTTAGGGTTTCAAGAGATCTCACGGAGCCGTCATGAGTGCATTTGGTTTATCTTTTGTGATTATGGTAAGTGGTAAATTTATACATTGTGCACTGTATATTTTCTATCTAAAATTATATTATGTATATGTGGATAGTTCCATAAATAACTTATCACTTCATATGATTTGCTCACGCATCAACTAGTTTGATGGTACTTTTTGTTTGGACGACAAAATATTCAAGTTTAAGTTTATGCATTATTTTTTGTGACAATCACATCTTTTTCAAATTAGTATTAGGTTGAGATGGGTATACATTTAAGTCTCATTATTGGATGGCTTTTGGCATATTTCTGAGTTGTTAGCTATATGAGTCTTATTTTAATTGAAGTATATGAATTTCTAGTCAATATACTGGTATATGTAGAAAAATAAGTCACATTAGGCACAATGTGTCTCTACGAGGTTTATTTTAGCGCTACAGGCCTAAATTTGGGTCACACTATCCTAAACACTGCTTACTAATTATGGAATTTACCAAGTCAAGTAGGGTATGAAGTGTTGACCACATTGAAATGTGGTCTGCTTATTTTTCCATTTGCATAAAATATTATTTTGACTCATTCCATAAAAAACGGTATAATGATTCATTGATTTGTTGGTAATATTTCTCTTGCATATAAATTTGTTCATATTACTTTTAATTTATGGTGATTTAGATCTTTAGTTTTTGTTAAACCAATGTACAATATGTAGATTCTATTGAGTTGTGAACTCATTGTGTTTTATTCACCTTTTTCACTAACTCGGGTTTAGGTGGAGTTGGAAAGCCTTGCAAACTCATCGAAAAAATGGAGGCAGTTGATCTTTAATTATTTGGAGATTGCTATTTTTTTAGGTGAAGGATATATAAACACATGGTATTTTTTGGATCTTGGAGGATTTTACGACAATGAGATTTTCTTCTTTAAGTTGGGCTTTATTCAAATTGAAGAATTTTTACTAATCTAAGTTAGATTGATATGGATCCTTAATTAAGGAGGATGATTGTTGTTGGTTTGAATTCATATGATAAATGGAAGTTTTTGTGGTTATTTTATAGATGTAGTTTTTTTGGAGAAAATTTTAGCAGGTTTAGTCCGGCACTGATATTTCTTCGAGTTCCAAAAATTGGGATCGTGCCAAAATGTGGCTTATGCAATATGTAAACCTTTATTATCGGCCCTTGTCCATGCAAAAAAAAAATGGTAACATAGTTCTGCTTGACCAAATATGAATATTTTAGTCCCCAATCAAGCATATCGACTTTGTTTTCCCGCTTGCTGTCATCTACCTTATGTGATAGCAAACTAATGTTAAGTTGAAAGAGTTTGAGAGTTTGCAATCAAAACTTCCCTTTCATGTTGTCCTAGAGACTTAACAGAACATTTAGTAAAAGGAAAAAAAAAAGAGAAAAAGCCATTTAGCAGTGAAGCCCTGTACAGTCCATCTTTGCGTTAAAGAAATCCATCGCGACGCTTTCATAGAATCATCAATCAAATTCAAACCATTGCTCCACGCTTAAAAGAGCAGTAATCAGACATATGCTAACAATTCTTAGTAACAATTGACTGAGCGACAGTTTGAAATGATGACAATCAAATCCCATGTCCCAGTTAAACTCCAACTCTAGAAATTAGACTGCTCACTAGAATGATCAAGCCCTCTTGACCATCTGCCTTTTACCTTACAATACATCGACCATGAAGCATCAACGACCAAGTTCAAACATTTTTCTTACTTGAAATTTCTTCTTGCCCACAGTCGAGAAATGCAAATGCCAGTAGAGGTGCACGATTTAATAGTGAGGCTTCTTAAAAATGAAAACTTTGACATAATTCTCCACTAATACAACAAAAAGACTGGTCAAATTTAACAAATCTAACACTGCATTGAGGTTAACATGTAGTAATATTCAAACCCTAACAACTCAAATTTTAACCAAAAAAGAGGAATTATTCCAGATTCAATCCCGGATCTAATGAAGCAACTACTCAACCCAAACAAATTTAAAGCTCGAAATCAAGATCCCAGCATCGGATCAAGCAAATTAGGGTTAGAGCTCAGCGTACCTTGTGATCGGACTCCGAAGCGAACGCGGCGACGAGGAAGAGGGAGCACGCGACGAGGGGGAGAGATCGGGCGGTCGGAATCATCGGGCCGTCGGATCTCGGACGGCGGAGATTTCAGATCCGAACCAAATCTTTGCTTTGAGATTCGATCTCGTGAAGAGCGATAGTTGCTTGCTGTCTCCCTTTTGGATTTAAAATGAAACCCACAGCAGCACCAGATTCTGCTCCTCCTCCTGCGAAGGGAACTTATTACAGATATAACTGATTTAGGCTTAATTTCACTTTGGTACCCCAAAGTTTCATCCATCCCTTGCTTTGGTACCTCATTTATTGCAAGTCTATTTTTGCCCATTTGATATCGTAGTATTTCAGAAACTTGAATTTTGGTTCTCTCTATCTATCTTGGGAAGCACTTTTATTTTTCCTTTAATACAGATCATGCATTTAGCATATGATCCGAGTTGGACTTTATACTCCTGTAATCATCACAAATACCCCCGAAAATGAGTAGAAATTTTCAAAATCTACAAGTCACACATATTTTTATGGATGTTCACAGCAATTTTCTCATTCGTTTCAGGGGCTTTATAATGACTACTTAGGCATAAAAGTCTACACCAGATTATATGTTAAGCATGTAATCTCAATTTAACAAAAAAAAATTAAACAATCCCCACAACATCCAACGGGCAAAAATAGACATTCCAATATCAAAGTTCAAAAATGGATGGAACTTTCACGCGACAAATGGGCAAAAAAATGTAAGGTATCAAAATTCAAAATTTATCAAGCTTTGAGGTACCAAAGTGCAATTAAGCCTTTGGTCAAGGGGCTTTTAGATATTGGTCACCTAAATCTTTCGTTTAAAGAAGCATTGTGCCAATCCACACAACAAAATATCAAGGGAACTTAAGGTAACTTACAGAAATTGAGGAACTAAATAACAATTTCAAGTTTTTATTGCCTAAATAGCAACTAAAAAAATTGCTAGAGGCTAGTTTGAAAATATCGAAGATGTTATTGTTAGCAACCAATATCTTAAAACTATTTGTTTTTTTCGTTAGGAGAGGAGTTTTGTAATATTAAGTTTTTGGGGGGGTGCCAATCTAGAGTTCCTGCGTAGATCCGAATCCGATTGAGCACTGATTTTCTGTCCTTGCCCAAAGTGTTCGGGAAAGAGATCCCATTCGTTGTCTTTTTTTTTTTTTTTTGGTCCTTGATTTGGATAACATGAGTGCACGTGCAATGAAGAGATTAGTATTGGATGGCACGAAACTCTTAAGAGTTGACTCTTGGTTTTAAATGCAGAACTAATTAATTTTTATGTTTGTCCAGCTTATCTGGTATTGAATTTGGATTCTCTGGAGTGTAATTTCCAGTGTTGGAGCAAAAAAAAAAAATTGTTAGGAGGGCATAATACAACCATTATACTATACATCAATCAAAATGTGAGCAAGTGCGGCAATGTATAATAAAGTTCATACATGCCGCAATGCATAATAAAGTTCATACATGTAAGTAGGGCTGTCCATCCGGTCAGCCCGGTCTGGGCCCGGGCCTGAGCAGGTCGGGCTCCGGGCCGGCCCTGTTTTCTTTGTGTTTAAATTTTTTTTTATTTTTTTAAAAATTTTCAAGAAAACAAAGGCAAAAATAAACACAATTTTGATAAAAAAAATTATATTATTAATCATTTGTAATTATATAATTTACGAATATAAAAAATTATAAAAATTAAAATGATAAAATTGTTGTAATCTCGTTGTTGTATCTACATACATCACATATCAAAAGTAAGAATCAAATATGAAATGTAAGAGTAAATAAATAGACAAGAGAAGAGATAGGGAGAAAGTGATCATCTCATTTTATTCATCCTCATTTCTCCATCAATTACATTTTGTCTTCCATGGATTACATTATATAGATGTGGAAGAGAATACTAAACGTCACAAGTAGGTGAAGAGTCTTCTTCTAGTAATGTCCACATTCATTGTATTTATATTTACAACACTCCCCCTTGGACATTACTACATGATGCCAATGCCTCGTTAAAAATCTCGCTAGAAAAACCCAGTGGGATAAAAACTAGTCGAGGAAAAGAGTACACGACATTAGTAGATTCTTGTTGCATTAGTTGCCTCATTAAAAACATTTAGCTAAGAAAACACTGTGGGACAAAACTTAGCAAATGGAAAAAGAGTACAACTATAGATCTTCGGGATCCAAACTTGTGTTGCATTAGTTGCCTCATTAAAAACCTTTAGCTAAGAAAACTCTGTGGGACAAAACTTAGCAAAAGGAAAAAAAAGTACAACTATAGTCCTTCAAGGTACAATCTTCGGGATTGTGTTGAAAATTCGCTCCCCCTGATGATGACAATCTTCTGAGTCTATGCTAAGAAAACTCAGTGGGACAAAACTTAGCGAAAATGGGCAAATTATGATAATAGACCTTCAGGGCCCAATCTTCAGGATTGTTCTATAAGAATTTGCTCCCCCTCGAGCCACAAATATGTCGTATCAACGATCTTAATCATACACATTCTCGTGAGGCCTCATATAAAGCGATAATCTCTGAGTGGTTATAAGAAGTAGTCACCATAGTCTGCTTAACAGACCTCTAAGAAACAACAGTACCACCACAAATAAAAAAAAACATAACCAGTCTGGGATCTGGCGTTATGGGGATCATATATAGCCAGCGTTCTAATAGCCCACCAATGTCATATCTTGGTTTCTTTTATAGAATAGTCCAAGATCTTTTGTACCTTGAAGATAGCGAAGGAAATGTTTAGCGTCATTTCAATGCCTCCTTATAGGAGAAGCACTATACCTTGCTAGCAAGTTCACCGCAAATGCAATATCAGGCCTGGTGCAATTTGCGAAATAAAGAAGTGCTCAAATGGTGCTCAGATAGGAAACTTCTGGCCCTAACATTTCTTCATTATCTTCTTTGGGTTTAAATGGGTCTTTATCCACTTCGAGGGATCGGATGACCATTGGTGTGCTAAGTGGATGAGATTTATCCATATAAAATCTTTCCAAAACCTTTTTCACATAGGTTGACTGGTGTAGAAAAATTCCTTCTGGGAAAATGCTCGATCTGCAGGCCGAGATAAAACTTGGTTTTTCCCAAGTCTTTCATTTCAAACTCCGTCTTTAGGCATGAGCTAGCTTCTGTAAGCTCCTTGTGCGTTCCAATAACATTTATATCATTAATATAGACTGATATAATATAGAAGCCATTTTCGAATTTCTTTATAAACACACAAGGGCATACATCATTATTTGCATATCTCCTCTTCAGGAGGAACTTACTCAGTCGGTTATACTATGTTCTACCCGACTGTTTCAAGTCGTATAACGACCTTTATAATTTAATGTTATACATGTTGCGATTCTTGCTTTCTCTTAATTCAAGAATTTTAAGTCCATCAGGGACTTTCATATAAAAATATTAGCGTCTAATGACTCATATAAAAATGTGGTCATGACGTACATATACTGCATATATAAATTCATAGTTTCTGCCATATGTATTAACTTGCGGAACGTAATACAATCACTAATAGGAGAATATTTTACATCTAAATCGATGTCGGGTCTCTGCGTGAACCCATTGAGCTATGAATCTCGCTTTATATCTCACCACCTTACAATTCTCATTTATTTTTCTTACGAAGACTCATTTATATCCTACAGGGATATATGAACTACAGATTCAAAATACTTTAGCGAGTTCAGCTTAGCCTCAATTGCCGCTTTCCATCTCACCTAGTCCGAGTGCTTCAAGCACTCTACTACCGACTTAGGTTCTGGATCCAGATTATTTTCGGAGATAGTAAGAGCAACTGTAGAGGCAACTATGTTGTCGACAACTTTTATATTTATATTATATATTTCTCCTTTTTCACAAATTCGTGGCCACTTCAATTCTTATTTTATGTCAACCAAATCCTCGCCATTTCCCTTAACGTTTGGATTTGGCCGTTCCGCATCTCCAGTATTGTGATTATCAAGTGCACGTGCAATTTACTGGAGATTTCATCTTCAGGATGAACCTTTTCTGGAGGTTATGGGAGTGACTGTCTTTCTATATATATAATTTAGTTTGCCGCGGACTTTAACATGTTTTATATGCTTCTGGCACAATATGCTTCTGGCATACCAAATCATCAATGATATATTCAACATGAATATGGGGCTTAGTCACTCTTTTCTTGGCAGATTATCATGTGAACTTCTGGTTCAGTTTGACTATTACGTGGATATAATTATTGAAGATTGAATTTCTTGACATTATTTTGTATTTTGGGCACTAATCTCCCCCTAATGTCGAGAATTGATCTTCAATGAAAATGCAGTCAGCGTACCAAATTATAAATTGATCCCCTAACATGGGCCACAGGTACTAAATTATTGACGAAGTTTCATAAATAATGTATGTACCTTCACCGAGGTCCCATAGAGGTACGCTATGGTGGTGATATAGAAACATGGACTGGAAATAAAGAACACGCAGATGGAAAATGTTTCGCTTCTTCACCACGTATTAGATAAAGGGGGAAATTATGATATGCAGTTGGTCGGATTTGGTTTGAATGCCCCATTTAATTTAAGAAAATCCGACAAATCATATTTTGCCCAAGATGACCCAATCGCTCATGCCAGAATTTAAAAGAATTTGGGTCCCTAAATCTCAAACTTATCGCAACATGTTGTATTTTAGGTCAGACAAATTCTAAAATATACACATATGAATAAAAACCACATAGGTTCACAAGAGTTTAAAGCAAAATCAAGATAAATTAAAATTGTCTGACAAATGTATATAATCCAAATATAGAGAAACCAAATAGTTTACCTTTACTACCTCGATAAGATCCATTACCTCCCCCTCGTCCAAGCATATGAATATTAGTTTGAATTATGACATGTGCTTCAGGCACTACGACTGAACCAATTAAACTTGCATTATGGTTTCTCACAACAGCTGGTTGTGTTTTTAACAGCTACTAATACAAGGATTAGTTTATAATGCTTTTAGTTGTACTATTGTAAGAGTACAATGTTACTTGTTGAATTGTATTCAGTCGAGGGTTTAAAATCCAAAAATGGCTACAGGATAAGATCTCCTACTATGTTCATAGCCTCCCCCTTGTCCACGCGTATAAGTAATTTTCTGAATTGTAGCATGTGCTATAAACACAACTCGTAAGCCAACTAGTCTGAC